ATAAATTTATGCTTTAAAATTATAATAACTTTGTTCCTTATGAAATAGTCATTAATCTGGCATTAATTTTGTTAAATAATATTGTTGTGGCTAAGAGAAATTCAACGTTAACTTCAAGCAATTTTTGATGTTTTTTGGTTTGTAATATAATTGTTTTTCTATATTTAATCAGTGCTATTTCAAAATTTCGAGCTACTGTTTACTTTACGACTATATAAGAGATATCATTCTATTTCTTTTATTTCGTTTGTTAAGAACAGTAGCTCAATCCAGGACTTCAAAAAAGTGTCTTTGCGCATTTTATGAAAAACTTTGTCTGGTATTTTGGATTTAATTAAAAAGATGAGCAAAATTTCCAAAAAGTTGAGCCACTAATTTCTATACCAAGAGTTATTCTTCACTATTCAACAAGTCAAAATTGTTAATTTGTTTTTGTTTCCGAGAAAAATCACGCAGAAATCACAGTTGCGATGTAATATGGCTCTTAAGATCACGCATTTTTGCTAAAGGTCAAGCATATGTAGCTTTGAGCCGAGTTAGGTCTCTAGAGGAACTAATCATCAATAGTTTAGACCACCGCAAATTACTTAATAATCCCCACGATATCAACTCCCTCAATGAAATGACTAGAATGCAAAATTTACAATCTTATAACGAAGTCAACGAATCGTAACTAAAAAGTATAAAATAAAAATAAATAATTTAAAGAAAAACATAAAACCCGACTGCGTTAAATCAAATTTTAAAAAATACATGAAACAATTAATAAAATAAAATGTTTTTTTTTTTAATAATTTTGTCAACGTGTTCATCAAAAAGAAGCTTTTAATCATGAATAATTCCAACGTCACTTATTTTGGAAAGTCAAAGCTGTGATTTTTTTAAATGTATTGAATAAGAATGATATTCTATTTTCGGCTGAAAGTTACAACGGAGCAGGGTAAATACCTTGCAGAAACTGCAAAGTATTAAACAGACACTTGAAGACAGAAATAAAAGGCTTTATCATTATTAATATTTCTATTATATACCAGATACGGCACTTATGGGACGAACCAATCGAGCAACCCGAGGTGCAACTTTATTGTTCTGCACAACTGCAACTGCCGCAGAGTCCGGATATAGACATATTGATGAAGATAATAGTGAAACAGTTGCACAATTTGATGCAGGCGGACCGGAAGATGGTGACGAACATTTAGAGTTACTACAGTGCAACTCGAGAGATGTTGAAGATTCATTATTCTGCAATATTTGTGGTTGCGGCGATGAGAATTGATCATTATTGGTGGGAGCAGTTCGTGGACGCCGACGTCGTATTCGTCGCCTAACGCGCAGTGGTCTCGCTTGTTCAGTTGACATATCGAGTACATTTTGCGAGTCCATTTTAGTTTCTTCAAAGCATTTGAGTAGTGCTAAAGCTTGTTCCTTAACCTGTTTTAAATGCTTATCCTCATCTTCTGCAGACTCAATATCTGACAGTTGTTTATCCTCTATATCATCTTTAGAACTATGAGTTTTATTATTTTTTTTTATATTATTGAGCTCTCCAAAAATGCTATCATGTGATAAATCTTTCTGATCATTATGAGAGCACTCTTTCATTTTAGTATGTTTAGGACTAATATTAACATTCTCTTCTTTTTGGCTTTCATCTTCAGGAACAATATCTTTGGTAGATTTTGCAGACTTCTTGTATAACCACTGGCATCCAGAAGATAATGGTATCACCCTGTAACAATTCATAAAAACATATCCTTCATTTACTTGGAATTACAGAGGTTCATCAATTTTGGAAAAGGACATAACACTGTATCTGTAGTTGAGTAAAAGTAATTATTTACTCAAATAAATCTAACAAATAAAAAAGAATTAGAATACAGCTGTTAATAGTATTATTATTAGCTATTAACAGTAGTTATGTCATGCATATTATCATTTATTGGATAATAATATCTTCACAAGTTATACCATTTTCTCAAGTAATAACTTTTCTCAGTTAAGATATATTTTGTCTTTATAGAACCCAACCCATATTATCATGTAGGAATTTTTTATTAGGATATATGTTATTTTGTAGATATATAGTACTGCAATAATTATAGAGTAGAATGGTGTAAATTAGATTATGCCTATGCTATTTTTGTGCACATTTAATCTGTAAGCTACTGAAAATAGGAAAGATAATAGGAGAAAGAAAGAAAAGAAAATAGGAGAGAGATTCTATAGAATACTATTTCCTGGAGCCAGTTTTAACAACACACAACATCACACTTTTCATTGTTATTTGTATTGTCTGCTCACCTTGTGCTGTGTAGTATGTAATACCCGATGGTAAAAAGGGTATAGAGAAAGACCAGGGAGCTTTTAGGTCACATACGTTTATTTAAATACACAAAAAATAATATATACTTTGTAAAATACAACCAGTACTGACAATGGCTTTATGAAGAGTGACTTTTCTATAATAACCATAGCATGTGCAGAACAGATTGCCAAATGTCAATATTCAAATTCAAATTAATTAAGACGACCTTAAACCAAGAAGGTCCAGAGCAAAGCAGTCTCCCTCAGCAGTGTGTAAGATGTGCATTGTCAAAATTAATAGCTTCTTAAATTCTAATCTAAATTATTCTGATACTTTTTGTTTGTTTCATTACTTTTTACTTAGAGAACACCACAAAATTCATCAATATTGCTTCAGTAGTTTTAAAGTTCATAATAATAATCAATAAACTTATATCGTTAATCATTAGTCAGACTTCGTCAGGCAGTTAATATAAGATTTTTGATTTCAATATAAGACCTTATTTTTTTTATTTTTATTTCATTTTTACTTTTAATTGACTTTATTTTTATAAACTATCTACATTTGAATAAATATGAGAAAATAACAAAATTAGGTACAAACTCGACAAAATCATCAGGTTGCAATAAAGAGAGCGGCTCGTCAGGCGGCAGTAGATGACCACGGCTACATAGGCACACATGCCGCGGTAGTGCAAATAATCGCCTGAGCCGCCGTTGCAACCAGCACACCCTTCGCCCACCTTGTACAGACATGTAGCACAATGCGCGTTCATCGTCGAAGAAACGACCTAAGTTAACACTTATTCGGTAAGATGGTCCAAGGTCTTCTTCCATCACTGTAATCATGTGCTTAAATTTTTAATGCATAACAAAGTGATTCTGTCTAACCCAGTCCATATCTTTTACTATGACATAATCAAATACAAGCATGCACTGTTAATGCAAATATAGGAAAAAACGTGAAAACTTTAGCTTTCAGCATAGAATCTTTCTATTATTATATTAGGTATTATTCATTTATTGTGAATTTAAATTCAAAGACTGCAGTATTTAAAGGGAGACTAGAATTCTTCTTCTTCTTTTTGATTAATGGCGTTGCCCTTGTGGATTTCGCCAGAATCCAATGTTTCGCTTAGATTACTTCATATTTTAGTCAGTGTTTTATAAACTCTAGATTAGAATTCATCTGCTGGATTTACAATGAAAGAGATACTACGTATGACAACCAAACCAAAAGAGAAAGAGTAAAGTATTTGGTTATTTTTTAATACTTATAGGGAAAAGAGAGCCCACTCCTTCGATTAACAAACAATACAATACACCTAGATAGATGTAGCGAAATTATTTACATAGAAATTATACTCTTTATAGTTTTCATATGGACACTGATTATTATATATTTTCAGCTAGTTAGTAGCAAACGCAAGCAAATAATTTTCAGTGGTCTGATAATTATATATTTGTTTGAGAATTTAAGAAGCGTTTCACTTACTACATCCAAACCATCCAAGTTGAAGTTGTCATTGAATATTCTGGGTGAATAGAACACAGTACGCAACCCCCAAATTGGTGACCCCAAAGGAAAAGTCCTAAAGGAAATTCTTATTTCCATCGGAATTTCAAGGACTAGTCTTCTTCAGTGTTATTGTGATCTGCGATCCCGTCGAGAGCCGATACATCGAGCATTGGATCCCCGACACTGCATTACTGCTTCTGCATCGGATTTTTTTCCAGTTACGTCGGAGATCAGGAAAAACAAAAGACGATCTGACAGAATTTTCGCAATTTATAAGAACAGATGCATGGTGTTTTATATCTTTTTAGTTCCGCAATTTTGCATTAAGTTTTATTTGATTTAAATTGTTATTTTAATTCTTATTAAGTTGCATGTATTTTGTTTCGAACTGTATTGCCATATATGCCATTATGACGTGTGGATGCATAATGGCACATATGGAAATACTGCACATAAAAAAGCAAGCTGAGTTTTGCGCACCGTTTTTTGTTCTTCATTCCAAACCTGAAATCAGTTGAATCAAGTCAATTGAAATTACGAGCAACCATTAAGTTGGCTCATCACTAATGTTGATTTATAAACCAAACGTCGTTCCTTTACCTGTAGCATAATAAATAAGTTAAACTAACGATTAAAATATTTAAAAATTAATTTTAATTTCATTACTCAATTTACTTTACCTATGTCAGAAAGAAAATATGAATGAATATCATAGACAATTATCCGAAAATCGCTAGTGAAATCTCGTTTGGTATAAAGAACAAATTCTAATTTTGAAATACTTCCTCATTTATGTGTTAGAACATAAGTACCAACATGGAGTAATAAATATTATGACTATGACTCTTCTTTTTCTTCTTTTATTAATGAATGGTTATGCTTGATTGTTTAAGGCTGTACGGCCTAAGCACCCTTTGCCTTCCCCTCCACTGTAGAATGGGAAAATTGAATTAAAAAAAAATGCTATGCTTGCCTTGGTGACAGGCATATGACAGGTGACATGACAACTGACAGCTTATTGCCAAAGACGACGCTATACGCTTGGAACTTATTAATTCTTGTTTTGAGTTCGTAAAAAAAATCATCTGTGAATAACATCTTAATCGATCATCGCCATCTTTCATTCATTTCATTTTCATTTTACATGTAGAAATTTATTTATTCACTTGACATTGGCAGAATTGTGCGAAATGCGCAGATAAGCCATTAATAAAAGAAGAAGAAGAGAAGAATTCTTGTTTTATTTATCCAGTTTTAAATAAATTGGCGTTATCAGGCGGTCAAATACTTCCAGTCGTTGTGATTCGTCGTTATAAATTGACGTGATTTTTAATCATAGATATTTTTATATCACTACCCTTCGACCATCAATTGTTTAAGACAATAGTGGGCCTTATTCAATCGACACCAATAACCATCAAATTATTTCACAATATATTGAAAAGAAGTCGGAGACGAAGACATGGAAAAGGAGTGATGACAGAGTGCAGTAGTGAGAGGAATCGGTGAGCGCGGCAAGAAGTGGAAATGTCGAACGTGGAGAACGTGTGCCCGCAGGTGCTGCGCGGAGTGGCGCGGGAACTGCGGCGGCTGGCGGCGCGCCCGCCCGCTGGCGTCAAGCTGGTGCTGCGCGAGGACGACCTCACAGACGTCGTCGCTCATATTGACGGACCTGGTAGATATGCTTTTTATGCTAATTTCTTAATGTTAGTGTTCTTAACATGCTATCAGTCATTTTGACATCATCTTTACCATATCTGTTTGCTGTAAATGTACCAATTAGAAGTTAATATTTTTCCAAGTTTAATATTTGGTAAGTAATATTATAGATCTATATAACTACACATCATGTTACAACATCAATGGTTTAGTTCTTTATTTCTGTGATAAGTAAAGCCATTGCTTTTCTGATCATATCAAATTGTATGCAGTTAGGCTATTTATGCTATTTTTTGTAGGATGGTTATAAGCATGACCATCAAATCGTCACCTTTGAATCTTCAAGTCAGGTTTATTGAATTTGTTAACCACTTTGTAGTTCTAAAGAATCATTTTAATTTTATGTAGGGTTTGGCTTGGAAACTTATTTAACAACCTACCTACCTGGTTGTAGGTAACTAGAGGATCTGCTCTTCATATGTCAGGTTGTTAATGATCTCGTAAAATTATCTCATTGTTGTTCCATCACGAGCAGCCGGGACCAGCTACTGGTTCAACTAGTTTTCTTCAATATTAAATAATGCCACAGGTCTAAATTAATCTTAAAGAAAACTAGTCGACTTCAAATCTAATTTTTAAATCTATTACAATCAATTTTAAAATTATAGCAGTTGTCATAGTGATTAATGGAATTGTGTAACTTTTAAAGTAACAGTTGCTTTTGGAACAAATGATGATTTGAATAATTCACTTGGTTTTGTTGTTAAGTTGTGAAATAATGTTTATGATTTTGTAAGAATTAGTTCTCCTATTTCAACTTAAGAATATTTTGTTTATTCATATAAGTTAAATAATAGAATATTATATCATTTCATACTTTTGACAAACACAAAGTTTTAATTAAACAATAAACATAACTAAGCTATTGCAACTTGCTCACAAAACACATCAAGTACATTTTTTTTTAGGTCAGGATGAAATGTGAGTAAATACATGTACTTACTTTTTACTTTTCTATTGGTACCAAGTACTTTTGGCATTGATAACTTAGAACCGAGTAGTGAGTAGTATTGTGAGGTGAGTATTTGGTTGGTCACTCACTAAGGAGTGTCAAAAATTAGGGGGATAAGATTTTTTTTTAGTTTATTCTGTTTTAAGGTGTCTAAAGTCTATCTTATGAAAAAGACCCACAGGCGCAGCATTCCTGTCGTATGACTAAGTATTACTAACCCCTACTAATTTTATGCAGTTCTATCTGGAGGGGGCACTGCCAACAAAATTTTGAAGCAATACCTAAATAAATACATAGTAAATATTTTCTGTATGCATCGCTTTTTATATCTAAACTTACTTCTCTATCACCCTTAAACAGAGTATTGCTATTGACTATCCATGGTATCAAATCTACTCTAAAAATCTATAAAAATGACGACAACGGTGTGGCATATTCAAACTTTTCAATACAAATAGGTATGAAGTGAAAGTATCGATACCTAGGTGGTATCATCTATGCACAGCTGATCAGAAAAGTTGGACAAACTATGTGTTTTATTTTAAGTCGGAATTATTTATTATTAGCTGTTCACAATTTGTTGCATACGCATATAGAGTTCTAAGTAAACCCACATATAAAAAGATCGATAACTCAATACTTAGTGAAATTTGCATTGCGGTAGTTTAAATGTATATTAAGTATATCCTTACCAAAACTTTATAATAAATCTAGAAACATAATATTTGACTGTTTCATCTGACATCGTAATTATCAATTTGCTTAGACAATTCCGATTTACGTCAAATGAACGTTAGCGTTCAATGTCGCAATTGTTTTCACATGTCGAATAGTCGTCGCGAATGTCTGTCAAAAGTACTGTTTTTTCCACGTCGATGCCGGTGTCGCATAACGATCTCTACGACGTGACGTGTTCCAGCGGACACCCCGTACGCGGGCGGCGTGTTCCGGCTGCGGCTGGTGCTGGGGCGCGAGTTCCCGGCGGCGCCGCCGCGCGCGTACTTCCTGACGCGCATCTTCCACCCGAACGTGTCGCCCGCCACGGGCGAGGTGTGCGTGAACACGCTGAAGCGCGACTGGCGGCCCGAGCTGGGGCTGGAGCACGCGCTGCTGGCGGTGAAGTGCCTGCTCATCGCGCCCAACCCCGAGTCGGCGCTGAACGCGGAGGCGGCGGCGCTGCTGCGCGACCACTACGGGGCCTACTTCGCGCGCGCCAAACTGCTGGCCGACATCCACGCGCGCCCGCTGCACGCCCGCCCCGAAGCGCAGGTTTACCGATATCTAGAATGTTCCCGGCATTTAAAGAAAGATAGCTACCCGTCGTGACGATTATCGTTGTCTCGCGGCCGTCGTTCAGACTGTCAAATATATACATATGTTTTCCTCGAGCGCTGGGTATATCCAACGGTACTCCGAATCGATGACTTCGTGAAACGGTTGCTCGGTCACCGTCGATGCCTCGCGACACGCGAAAGCACTCGTTTCCACTTTTATTTTCTGTAACTGTTCTGTATAACTTTGGCATCTTCGATACGTTGATTTTAGGCGCCATCATTTGAATGGGCCAGTCGTTCCCATAAGCCTCCTCCCGTTCTAAGCTTTTCCGTTCTGCCCTAAACTCTTCGTGACCCATATTCACTACATAAGGCCTCGGGGCGTCGTCTTCGAACCGTTCGATATTGATTTCTCAGAATTAATCATATTCTTTATTCATCGAGACGGGACTTCGACGATCGTCTCCAACGGAGACTGTTCCGACGCATGTACCTATTCCACGGCTTGTCTTTGACACGTTTCGATGTATACTCCATTCATTATAACATTAGAAAAAAGAGGGTCATAGAAGCAGCAGTGCAGAACATTTTATTTTCAAGACAAACTTTTAAAAATATATATTATAGTTTTGTTGAAACTTTGAACGTTAGGGAGTCTGAAAGAGCTGTGCAATTTTCTAATTTTTACAATACCTCAGGTTTGAGATGAGGTCAGCATTTTCTAAATTCATCTTTTACTCCCAAGCCATCATGGAACTAAAACTATCTATCTGTTGATTTGATTATAATTAGAATAGAATTTATTTATATCTATGCCCAGTAAAGTATGGTAAGCAAAATGAAATTTTTATTATTATTTAACATTTATTCAGACATTAGTCCATTGATGAAGACGTTGGAAAAACTTCTTGAAATGTCAAAGGTTGAGGGTAGGTATGGGGGCTTAGAGCGTAATTGTTGTAGGCTATTCCGGCCTGCACCGGCATCGTTCATATTTAATAAAACTTAACAACAAAAATAAAACAATAACAACTTAATCACGGGAAACGGTAAAACAACAAGAAAGGCAGTAGCATTCACGATGGATGACAATCCCAGATTACGTATTTTAACAATTATGAATACATCATAGTCTGACAGAATTAAGAAACTGTACTGCCGAAATGTTTGAAGGGATTAGGCAACGTTTTAAATTTATTAGATAGTTATAGTGACATGAGAATCGTACCGAAATTATCCAACCCTGCTTCTTTAGGTTCTTTAAGATGAACACTTTTTATTGTAATTGTTATTAAATAATTTAAGTTAATCAAACACTCATTTTGTTTAATAGATAGCTTAAATGATAACAGTTAAATATAGCAGCTGGTATTTAAGTGAATATGTAGCAATATAGTCGTCAGTCTTAAGAGTATCATGATTATTGATATTTTGTCACAAAGTATACCATAAAAAGAACCTTATTTTACCTCTGTCTAATGCTATAATGAATGGAGTATAGTCATTTTCTACGCCCATCACCGCGGCCGGGATCGCGAGTGCTAAATGAACGCGCGGATATCGTCCTCCGAATCGTTCCGTCGAACAGTCGCGGACAGTTCCCTCGGTCCCGGTGGAATATTCGGTGAACGGAAGTTTTTCAAATGAGCCTCGTTCATTTTGAGCGCTTCGTGAAATGAATACGGCGCTGTCGTCTGTAACAGAGTAAATATTATTTGAAGGAAGGGCCCGCGGAGAGCGCCGAGGGCGGCGCGCGGTCGGAGGAGGGCCCCTGTGCCAAGCGCGAGCGCCGCCCCCCGCCCGCCGCCGCGTCCGCGCCCGCGCCCGCCTCCGCCTCCGCTCCCGCCTCCGCCTCCGCCTCCGCCTCCGCCTCGGCTCCGGCGCCCGCGCCCGCGCCCCGCCCCGCGCCCTCCAAGGACAAGGATCGCCGTCGCATCCTCAAGCGGTTATGAGCGCACGGCGAATGCCGCCTCGAACTTAAGTTATATTGTGGAGTGTCAGTCTGTTATTATGTTCAATAAATATATCGTATCGAAGCCGCTTTTCATTACGTATACTTTTATGCCTCGTATCGTTTATGTGCCGGTCGACGTTCGACAGTCCGCCGGCTCGCTTCCGACGTCGCCCCTCGGGGCGGGTCCTGGGCCGGAACGTACTCCGGGAATTTATCGCACAACAACCGAAGCCGGTGTCGAGTTAATACAAGAATTTTTTAATGTCTGGCAGGATTCACATGATGCGTTAGGTGTTTTCTGCGACCTATCCAAGGCATTTGATTGTGTTTTTCATGAAACATTAATCAGGAAACTTCATTATTATGGATTTAGAGATAACAACTTATTGGATTTTATTGTCTCATACTTAACTGACAGAGTACAGAGGGTTGACATCAATGGCAAAAGATCCCCTGGATCGAAAGTTAAGATGGGTGTTCCGCAGGGCTCAATACTTAGTCCTTTCTTGTTTTTAATTTACATAAATGACTTGCCTTATTTCGTAAGGGATGATCACGAAATAGTTTTGTTTGCGGATGACACTTCACTTTTGTTTAAAAAAATGTTATAAATGTTTTGTGATACAAATATTAATATAATTATCATATTTCGAAATGTGCTTATGTAATCGTCGTATTTTTAAGATTATAATAAGCTCATTCATTTTTGGATAAGTTATGCTACCTCATCCTTTTGATAGACTTATTATCAAAATGGGAGGGTGGGGACGGTTGTAACGATTCTCATGGGGACGGTTGTAACATTAATTTTATAATATTTTTGTATTGTGGATGCCTAGAAAACGCATAAGAAAGACTTCGGGAGGTGGAAATGATATTTTGTCGTATAACACTTACGATGAAGTTAAATTAAGGGCTTATTTAAAGCAAGCTGCAGAGATACAAGCGAAAGCCGTATGCAGTTTATTAAGATAACCAAGAACAGGTTGCACATGTTAGCATGGGATATATAGCTCATAATAGAGTTTTTAGCGAATACCAAGAGCAGTATTATTGCCTTCTTTGCCTAGAGACGTATTTTGGCACTCGGTCTGGAGAGAGTAGGATTCAGTGTCAAGGAGGTTGCAAACAATGGTCTCACGTAGCTTGTACTGATGACAGTATAAATTATATATGCCATAATTGCGATGAGTTTGATTTAATATAGAAAAAAACTATTGTATAACTTCAGCTATTCTTGACTAACTTTGATTAGTTATTATTATTTAAAAAGACTATTTAAATGTGCCTTAAATGTTGTTATTTTGTATTTAGTGCATTTAGTTATTATTTATGAATAAAACTGATTGATTACGTGGGATTTATATATTATTTTTTAGCGTTACAACTGCCCCACATAAGTGTTACAACCGCCCCTGGTGTGGGGTCGATTGTAACAATCGCACACACTCTTTAAAACAGCTTATTCCTGCTAAACTGTCTTACCTAAGCTATTGGTTTTGATATTAATTTAAAGACAAATAAATATACTTTCATTTCAAAAACTTTGATGGTTGTTTCCAGTGGTAATAGCTGTGCTGTGGACAATTAAAGAAAAATTGTTACAACCGTACCCAGCCTACCTACCTATTTCTTATGACTTGTTCGATTTAGTAAAATCAAACTTAATATCATTTACTCAGTCTTAGCTTTTGGCAGCAATGGTGAATGTGGAACGCTACGCCATCGGTTCGCAAAACTGTGGGAGTATGATGATATGTTGGGTACATACATGAGTATAGATTTCTTTGCTATCCAATATTGAAACGGTTTTAAAACAAAAACAGCAGTAAAAGTTCATTTATTGTGTATGTATTTTTTGAAAAATTATAAATCAAAAACTGATGCATTCCGCGGCTTATTATTATTATACATAGAAATTAACAAAGTACGACGGGTCGGTTATATAAAAGCTGAGCTGATAGAATCATACATGAAAATAGTTCGAATATATAAAACCTAGTTCTTTGAATGGTTCTGACTGATATCTATTTTGAAATAACATTACACATTATATTGATTGACTGATTAAAAATTGACTAGGAAACAAAACATACAATAATTATGAATTCGGTAGCCAAAAGGAAAGTAACATATAAATTTTGTTTTCGTTTAGAACTTATACTTTATACCATTATTTACAGTTTATTTGAATATTGGTAAAGACTTGAGCACATTCTCTAATATAATATGGTCTGCCACGCCCACGTATACTTACTTATATGTATGTTACGTTTCCTATACATATAAGCAAAAAATGGCAGTAGATGGCAGGCTGATTGTGAACGGTAAACAATTATTGTAAACATGCTGACTTTACAAAGGATACTAACAACTGAATGCTGGATCAGTAACAGTTTAATTTTAAATGAATAATAAAATTCCAGTACAAATATTGCATGAGAGTATGTCAGGCTTCACATGGTAGGTTAAAGTATTATTAGCAGAGATTATAATTTAAACGGTTACTTCCTTTATGCATCCTTACTTGCCCAAAAGTTATCGAAATTGAGTAGGTACATAATATGCTTACATAGTTAATGGGTTTGGTCAAGCTCAATTATGTCATACTTAAACCTATAATGTAACACTATATATGTACTTATTTATTTAAAAATCTGCACGCATTAGCGATTTTCTTGGTCGGTCACTAGTTATGAATCCTGAATGAACTATCTGACTACAGTTGCACGATAGTTTTATTGATGAGAAGTCGGGTAGCCATTTTAGATAGTTTCATCGCCCGATTTATATCGCCCGTTTGCGTGCACTTAATTAGTTTAATATTTAAGTTTTACTTTAGTAGCTTATAGCCCCGCACTGATCAGTGATCACACCAGAGTGATCAAATTATAGGCTGAATAGAAATCGCTAGTGCGCGCCGATTCTATCTTTTTAAAATTGGCTTGGTTAAGTTCTAACAGATCTAAAATGTTCAGGCTTTACGCCTTTCTAAACTATAATATAAATAACACTGTTTAACAATTCGTAACAAACGAATGGCACTCATAAATGCCAATAGGTGATTAGCGCAATAACAAGTTATCGAGTCTTTAAACTATGAGCTTCTAGTGATATGGTGTCGGCTTGTCCTCTCACTTGCACTCGTACATAGCCTATCACATATATCTGCAGTTAAGGACCGACTTGAAAATTCTTCTAGAAATCTGGTTAGGTCAATCCCTATTAAAAATATCGGAGAGGTCGAAGCTACGCCTTGTCGTGTAGAGGCAGGGCCTCGTCGCGGGGCGCGGGGGCGGGGGCGGGGGCGGGCGCGCGCAGCACGAACCGATGCAGCAGCGCCGCCACCGCCGCGCCGCCCAGCGGGCCCACCCAGTACACCTGTCGCATACATTACAAATAGGTACAAGTTCTTACTTCTTTCATAATTATTTATAATTGTTATCGTTGCTCTCCTTCTTGCAATCAGGATGAAAATTCACAGAAGCCTTTTTTCTGGTAACCTTAATAAAGTAGTATTACGGAGCGCAACGGCACGGTTTACTAGATGGTGTTATGCGCCAATGAATCGCGCTAAGGCCGTGTTCAAACCAAACTGACTGTAAGCCGCCGAAAGTGAGCGAACGTTACGCAGTTTATTGTATTAGAACATTCTAGATTGGTATCGGCCTCTATAAATACGCGGTGGACTTCGCGTTCTGGTATTCTTTAGTGAACAAGCGATCAGCCTTACGATTCTGTAAAAATTCGAACTCCCATATAGCTTTGGACCTGAATTTTTAAAGTCCCGTTCATGAATGAAATAAACGTGTACTTGAAGGTAAAAGCCAAAGTAACAAAATCCTAATCGTCTTTTTCCTTTAAAAGTTGGGAATAAAAAGATATGGCATAAAATACTTTGTGGGGTTATATATTGCATCTTTGCTTTTTCGTTGAATGGACGTTAAAATAAATAAAAATGGTAACCAGTTTACTCCGTTTAATAAACTAGATTAAATAATTACATATCTAACAAGATCCAGACACTTATAATAGAAGAAACATTTATAACATATGACTAAACTGTGTGGAGTAGATCCCTTTGCCTTTAATTAAATCATAACAACTGAAAGTGACAAATAAGGGCAATGTACGTAGCTAAACTGTCAGCGTTATAATCGGATCGATTGCCATTCGGAATCCAAAATAATGCAAATATCAACGTTACTCGAAGAAACATGCTTAATTGTCAAGTTGAATATTAACATAAATATCAAACTCCACGAACGAACACACAACAAACAAACCAAACCAATCATCCACTATCATTCCACCATCATCATCATAGAACATTCATAGATGAAAACAAGCATGTCCAAATAAAATCAACCAATCGATTATTTAGAACAAAATAATCGATACGTTAACCTTTCATCGGATCAACTGCAGAACTGGCAATAATCTTCTTAAATCGGTTGTGATATCTTAGCTTTCAATTGTTTTTATTTTTCAAGTATTCAATACGTAATTTGAACGAATAAAATAAATATTTATGAAAGTATTCAAAGACCATATTTCATATAATATATTATATATAGATTTTATATTGAATATATATTTAACGTTCAATTGCTCAGTCGGTACACTTCATTACATCACATATCTCACTTATTATCAGTAGTAAATGGCGACAGATAATATTCTACAGAACATGTTTGAAAAACTCGCGATTAATTGAGAATCGCTTCTGACATCGTTGATGTATGTGATCGATTTTTCAAAAACCATCCAAACTACAACCCTTTGATATATTGCGTGGTTTTCAATTAAAGAGGACGAATTCTACACAATCTAATTTTTAATTTATATTCGATTATTAAGCGTATTAATGGTACTTTAAAGACAATATAATTAATTGCAATGTACAGGAAACGATAATATCCATTAAATTAGATGACCCTTTTATTGTCCGGCGCAAACTTCCTGAGAACACTTCCTAGATATGGTATCGGCCTCTATTATTATACGCGGTGGACTTCTGCGTTGACCTGAACGTATTCTTTAGTGAGCAAGCGATCTTTGCCTTTCGTTTCTGTACTATCTTCAGACGTTTTGTTATCTTGATAATTATTAGCAGCATTTAATATTTTAGTTTGGTTCCCCGACATTAAAATTCACCATTTTATAGAAATAAAATTTATTAATCATATATTATTTATTTGTCATATTGCCATCCATGTACGGTTTTGTAAATTATGGGGTTCAAATTTGAATTCACTCATTTGTCTGTCTAGGGTTCGAAGTATCGGCTTCTAGTATCGATACCGAGTACTCATGTGGTATCGATATTCGATACCATAAAAGTATCGCTCCCAGAGTATCGTCGATACTCAGTATCAATTACTAGTGGCCGCCAGCGACTTCGTCCGCGTTTTCTATTATTTCTTCGCTCCTAATAGTTGCAGCGTGATGTTATATAGCCTAAAGCCTTCCTCGATAAATGATCTATTCAACACAAAAATAATTTTTCAATTCGAACCAGTAGTTCCTGAGATTAGCGCGTTCAAACAAACAAACTCTTCAGCTTTATAATATTAGTATAGATTTACCGACAACATATAAACAATGCCAGAACTTTAGATTTTTCATAGTTGATGCATACAAAATTGCATAAACCCTGTTTGGACGCAACGAGGAGACGACTGAGGAACGAATTACATCAGTTTTCTAGACATATGCACTGCCGTGTTTGGTGGGTGAAATTGCCCTATTTCGAAAGACATGAACAACAAAATAAAACATTTTTATTTTTCATTTTATTTAATAATTTTGATTATTTAATTATTAAAAAAATATTAGATAAAAATCAAAAAACATATGTTAGTCTAATAAATTTAAAACATCACCTGAGTTCTGACTGATTAGGACTTTCCTCTGAGTAGTTTTAATGAGAACTCAGTTCAAAATTATTTTTATCAAAATTATTGAATATAAATAAATACAAAATATGATTAATTTGCTTTTTTATTTTCAGGCTTAGCACTAGGTACTATAGCAACATAAGTGATTCTATAGTTTTCTTTTAAATTATGACCAATTTTATAAGAGATTGCAATTGCCGCATCAATAGCAACGCTGGAATGAAACACGATCCAAAATATTTAAACTTTATAAGCAAATGGTGATTTACGGATTTTTCTAAAATATGTTTATTGTTTTTTTATTTTCATTCAAATGTTAATGTATTTATAGGGTTTTTCTTTTTAATGTATACGATTGAACACCTCAGAAGTATATTGTATTGAGGTCAGGGTAACAAAAAAATTTAAATTGTAAAATCACAGAGTAATACTTCCAAAGATTTATTAAATTTAGGCATAGAAGCTAAATAACAACTGTACATATGCCGTATCAAGTAATACTCGATTAGGCAATTTTTATGAGTACTTTCGAGTACTTATTGGCTGTGGCATCGAGTATCGCTTTTGAAAGGTATCAATACCTACTCGGTATCGAAAGAATCGTTCGAACCATACATGCGTCATTTAATGTAGAAAATCTATCGACTCCATTTTTTTTATAAAAATACAAAACAAAATTGATTTAATATACGTGTCTCAGATATTCAATTCCCTTTTCATTTCGAAACTCACTTCACTTATGCCACTTCAATTCGAATTTGGGTTCAGATTTTTACAGATTCGCAGGACTGACAGTAAGAGGGATCGGAAGCGAAAGTCGAAGCGATAACTATAGCGGTGAACGATCCAATAGTGTTGTGAAGTGTTATTAGTGACGTGAAATAGTGAAGTTGAAGTGTGAATTTTGTAGTTGCGAGTATTTTTGTAATTTTATTGTGTTAAATAAAGTCGAATTGTGAACTAGAATTGGTGTTAATTTTTATCCCGGACCCTAAGTCGTAGCAGTAGGTATGATAGTCATCTCTTACATTAAGGTATATTTCTCTGGTATTGTCATCGAGTTTCAAAGATTCGACCGTAACATATAACAAATCAAACTATGCACAGGGCGTGTCGCAGGATATCAATCGTAAGGAATGGATAAACATTTTAGATTATTATGGTTAATCAGTGTAAAATTAAAATAAATGAAGAATTATTTATAAAATATCCAATTTCATTGTAATCCTGCGACACATACAGGTTGTATGATGTATATATGTAGTTGCGCACATAGCATACTCACCCAGTGATTTGTCCAAAAGTTCTGTATTAATGCCGGGGCCAGACTTCTGGCCGGGTTTAGACTCGCGCCGGTCAGGTGGCCCTGTAATCGATACAGATATTCATATCAATATTTCGAGTCAACGACTGAAATCATAAATATAGTTCATATTTATGCCGTTTCGTCAGGGCTAGTGCAATACCGTGTGCGCGTATTTAAGTTCGATAGCAACAATTAGTTACGCAATATTGAAATTAAATCAAAATCATTGATTCAGTTTAGCGTTACAAGCACTCGTGCAAGTCAAAATTCTATGACATCGATTCGTAAATCTTCGACGGGAGACCTTGTACCCAGAAGAACCGACAAGAAACTCAGCAAGGGCTGCTTTTGTCTCCCTATTTTAATTACAAATAGAGAAGTCAATATTTAAACATGACTACATTGGAATATGATGCCATTTTTCATCATAATATTAAAAATTAACAAAATATATTTTAATCATTCAATCTTCAGTCGATTCACATGTCATGTAAAACAAAAGTCACTGATAATAAATCATTTAATATGCGATATGCACAATATAAAAAAGAAGTTTCGACCCGAGAGAGACAGTATCGACAGGTAGGCAGGTACAGACCCCGGCGTAGACCAGGCCGGCGATGCCGCAGCCCAGCTTGATGGAGACGGCGCGGTCCGGGCGGGCGTCGTCGTGCGCCGCCCACAGGCCGCAGCAGAGCAGCACCAGCGTGCCCGTGAGCAGCGCCTCCACCGCGGCGGCCGCGGCGGGATGCAGCGCCGTGCCGGTGCAGCCCGCGGTGGCCGCCAGACCGGCCGGCGCCAGCGCCCGCAGCAGCCCGAACCCGACTACCGCGCCCGCCACTTGCGCCACCGCGTACGCGCCCGCCAGTGCCGCGCCCATTTTGCCGTACAGAAGCGCCGCCAGAGTGACCGCCGGGTTCATGTGGGCGCCGGACGCGGGCCCGAACGCCTCCACGTTCATCAGCACCACGAAGCCGAACGCGAGCGCGGGGTGAGTGAGAACGATGGGCTCCTTCGTCATGAGCGTGGCGACCCCGAGCAGGACCAGCAGCGCGGTGGATATCACCTCGGCGACCAACGCGCGCCACCACCGCCTGACCCACGCCGCCGCTCCGCGGCCGTTGTCACCTGAAACTATCGTTACTTTTATGGAGTTGCCTTTCTTTTCCTGTAAAAAGATCTGACGACTCCTCGATGACCTATTTCATGTTAATTTGTCGATAAAGACTATCATATGAAAATAGTATAGCAGTATAGGTATAACTGACGAGTTCGAGCTTAAGTACGTATGTGTATACAACGCTAATGCTACACACGCAGAGGCAGAGCATATTTTTCTACAAAAGGCAAAATGCTATCAAATTTAATTTATCAAATGTGGTCACTGACACAATGTACTTAATGACTACGATTTTCCACGCGTTAATGTATGAGGAGAAGCATAAACATACATCAGTAACTTGCGATATACAGACGATGCCTATAGCGTCGATGGCTAGTGATTCAGTCAGCCAGGGCTGCAACATATGACGATGAAGAAAACAATTTCGAAATAAAGCTTAAATAGGGATCCAATCTACTATGCTTCTACGTGGACACTCACAGTACAGCTTGTCCACCAGTTTTTGGATAGAAGAATTCTAGAAGTATACTTATGTCTAAACGATATTGAAAATTCGCAACGAGCCATACAATAGCGACCGATTAGCGTAGTGACGGTGGACGGGTCACACTGGACATTCGCAAGGGTCGGTCACGGGATGGGTGACAAAAAATTATTATCTAAAATTATTATTATCTAACCATAAGGAAGGCATGAGCCCCTGCAGTGGGGACGTAAAAGGGCTGATGATTAATCTAAAACGGCAAAATGAGGCGTACGTCCAGTAGTGAATTGCTTTAGGCTGCTGCTGACGCTGATGACGGACGAAGTCTATACCTGATGAACATCTTGTTGGCGTTAGAATACGGACTCGTGTTTGTGATATCGGAAAATAGGACAGCGATTTTCTTTTTGTGAAATACAACTCTTTTATATGTGTATATGCCAAATAAAATGCTGCCGAAATACCGAAACAATACTTCTTTGTTTGTGTTTTGTATCAGAACCCGTGTAAAATGGAAATATCTGTGTGACGCACGCAACCAAGGCAACCTATGTTTCCAATTCTTCTAGTCGTGTTTTCTTGATTAATGCCCGACTTTCATTAATCTGAGAGGTCAAAAAGATTTTCTTTAAATATACAAACAAATTTTAAAATGTGAGAAGTAATGGGTACTTAGGTATATTAAAAGCGACTTCATTATTAAAGCAACTGCTATTGAATTGGGGCGGTTATCATTTAATAATCTACAGAAAACATTCAGAGAATCTAAAAAAATCCACGGTGTCTCTGGCACTCTGAGATGGGACTCGAAGTCCGGGCCTTTCGCAATCCGGGCGACTGCTCTAACCACTGAGCTATCCAGGACCTAACAGGACTAATCAAGTTTTCAAGCACTTGTTTACTATTTTTAGCTACTACATAGCGTATTTTCATCAATGTTCTGGCAGTCCACCCAAACAAAGTATTTTTTTTTAAAACATCGAACCGATGTTATTTTATAAAATAAAAAAGTTAAGGATTTTTGTTTTTTATTGTACATAAAAATACCTGCGGATGGATTTTTAATGTATGCGAAATACGCTACATTTTGATTTGTCACCAATATGTCTTATTAATATTTTGGGGATATTTGGTAAAAGGCATATTTTGTTTTGTTATAAAAATAAAACTACGCATTCGATTTCGATAAAAATTATATGGGTCCACATCGGAATCATAGGCTGTCTAATAAAAAAGAATCATTAAAATCGGTTCATAAAAGACGAAGTTATTCACTAACAAACAAAAAGCAAAGGTATATACGGTCGTACTGAGAAACCTCCTTTTTGAAGTCGGTTAAAAAGGCTTATTAAAGTAAACTTTCCTTTTGCAGCGATAACCAGTAAGTAAGCTGGATGTATGCGTGTATGTGTGTGCGTTTTATTAATCTACGCGTTATTACTATTTATTATCCAACATATAAACTTTGTCGTAATGAAATAACAGATTTTAAAATACACTGAAAGATAATTCTACCACAAATTTAATATAGGTACCTGTTAATTTTTGATTGAAAACTAAAATTTGTAAGGTAATTTTTTTTCTTATCAAATAGAATACGCACCGGTCATCGTCACGTCAGTTGGTTGGAGTCAGCAATAAGAATGTAACGATGGAATATGTGAATCCGGTTTACAGATAAATATTACTTATAGTTATCAATTTCATAGATAAGTTACATAAGCCATGCGACGTATGACTTGATTTTTTAAAACGGACGTTATGCGTTTATACTTATAATAATAAAAATAATATAGTATTTCTGTGTGCTGTAGGTATAATAATAATAATTTGCGTGTGTTGACAGATACAATTTTTTGGCGCGAATCTCGCCACTCATAGTCGAGAGTTGGGCCGGTGCGTGCATGTGTCGGCGGCGGCGGCGGCGGCGGCGGCGGCGATGTCGTCATGTTAATAATATAAATTTAATTTAGTGAACACAACACACGATTTGAATAATATTTTTGTGGCAAACGTAACTCCAGTATCTATTTTTATATCCGGCTAATAATATTCGTCGATAGTCTCCTCCCGAGTTATCGCGGCCTTGGTTGTATTATACATTGCGCGTCGCCTCAGCATTTGACCGACCGCGATTGTTGTTCATTGTAGATTTTTGAATATATGCTGAATTAAGTACCGATTGTTTGAATAGATTAATATCTTCATGTACATAATTTGTATTAAACAGGTTTCTTGCTGTTTTAATTACATTCTAGGCGAGTTGTTTGCGAGGGTGGGCGCTCGCGCATATCGAACAATTGGCATCTAATGCTAGTTTGGCAATTAAAACTTAGAAACTCGTTGTAAGTAGGTACTATAGTAAAAAAACGTAAAATTAATGATGTTATATCGAAGTATTTGTTGGGCAGTCGCACAAACGTCCTCTAGCCTTTAAGCTCTAATTAATGTGAAATATGTTTGGGTAATGTCGTTTTTAAGTAATGGCAATTTTAATGGACGTTTGTGCAACTCGCTGTGTGTCACAAATATATTTTGTCTCAAAGTAGTAGGTACGTTCTAGTTGTGTTCAAAGTTCTTCAACAGTAGCTGGATAACGAAGACAATTATTGGGTTCAAAGTTTTGACAGTTAATTATGAATGATTGATAATGAAACGAACTTACCAAGTGAAGTTCGATAAAAATTATGTGAACAGTTTTAACCATACATCGCAAAGAATGAAGCAGCGAAACATAATGTAAGCAAGTACCTATCTATAATGTAATGTTTGTCGTCACATTTCGAAACCAAAGGTTAAATATATTTTTTTAAATAACAAAAAAATATTTGTGAATGAATTTTATATGATATTAGCTTCAGTACTGTATTTATTGACTGGCTCCATTACTCTATGAAGATTAAAGACATTCGCGATCGTATCGTCTGCGTTTTGATAATAATTTCAAACAAATTAATCATATTGTTTGTTGTAAGGGGGCTCGGTAAAATAATGTGATCTGTTATTAACTAATTATTATGTATTCTGTGCTGTGCTCATAGTAAACCGCTCGGGGACGTGACGGTGACGTGACGTGATGGCGCGCGAGCCGAGCCCCCAACACCAGACCACAACAACTCACCACACTTAGCTCACAAATGCACACCTAACTATCTAATGATATGTAGTTTGTTAATCACTATTTCAAAACAATAGAGAGACTCGGACAGGTAAGCTCGGCACTGTCGGACTTTACGACAACCTTGGGGATGCAAGCTCGGCTCATTGTGTTATTTCTTAAATCTGCAATTTCTTTTATTGACATTTCAAATTAAGCGGCGAAAGTTATAATATTCATATTAGGAAATACACACACACACACACACACACGTGTTGGTAAATTGATTTTAATAGCACTTTTGCACTTCTACATCGTGACAGTACTCCACGAGTAGTTCCTCTGTTGATGCAATTCTAAATAAATTAACATTTATAATAATATTTGACGTGTTGTTGTTTGTCTCTTTGACTTTTTGCTTCGTCTCGTCACCGGTAAAATCCTACTCGTAGCACTCGTATACATTCCACGGCCGGCGCCGGCGGCACGGCGCTGGTCACTTTTATCACAGGATCATGTCCATTTTCCTCAAATATTTTATACAGCATAATAAAACAAGATAAAATTAAAGTATTAATTTTTAACATTATGCATAAACTATTTAAATATTTATAAAGAGTCTATATGCGATACTAGCTACAACTCGTGGTCCTTCAAAGTTTTCACTATCATTAGTATCACCAAATCGAAATGTGTGTAACGTGATGTTCGGTTGGTACTGACCGTCTCGGGGCATGTGTGCGGTGGAGGCGGGCGCGTGTGCTGCGCTCTCGGGGGTCGCGCGTCGACTGCGTCGGGGCCGCGTGCGCGCGCGCCGCTCCACTCGCTCACGCACGACACAACACACAACACTGTCACTGTACTCCACGTCCCACGATCGGCACAGCACCGATGACATCTTCGGCAGCCGCGGCACTCTCACGCACAGGTACCGTCGACGTTATCTTCGGCAGCAGTACAGACAGAGGTATAGCGAACGACCCACCAGTCTTGATACGGTCGGGTTCCCATTAGAGCGATCAGCTCTTTAGGTTACATTAAAATTAGCTTTGCTTTTAAATTTTTTATTCTATATTGTATGTCGTGCTTTTGGATTTGGATTTAATAATAAGTATTTTACGCAAAGAACAACGGAAATTAGGTATGTGATGACTTACGCCCTTAGGAACTTACCACAAGTAGATGATATTGATAGATGGTATTAAAATATATTAACATCTTGAAATGAAGAAATTAAAATTGGTTTCCATCGAGCCGGAAGGCTGATCCAGACACAAAACAAAACCAAAATAGTTACATAGTTTTGTGTGATCCCGACCGGGCCGGCTCAAAAGTAGACAATGTCATTAGATTTTATGTATTCCATTGTTAACGTCAAACTAGCAACCTCTCATGCTGTAAGGTATAGATTTTCTTATATTGTGCTGGAAAGTAACTTCATTTTTATTTTTGACATCTCTGTATGAAAAATACAGCCCTGTCCAGGGTTCGTGCCGGTTATTCTCAGTAAAAGGCCTCCCGATGTAGATTTACGAACCACTGGCATAGACAACTTTCACAAGTGGCTTTTGTGTCACAGCCCAGACTATATCGATGTTTTTGATTTGATATGACGGAGAGGTCACCAAGCCTTATATTGTGTAGCACTGAACATTTACCTGAAGCTCTAATCAACTGCAGGATCATGACTACTGTATTATTTGTTAATTTCTTTGAATAACAATATTAATCCTAAGTGATAGGAGTACCGTAATTGATCATAGTTGAAGACCCGACTTAGTTTCGCTATCTTGACACTCAACAATTATTATTTTCCTTTCGATATATCTGGGTAGATATCAAATAGAACGGTAAATAAACAGTAATCGTGCCCCCCCCCGAGCGGACGCGGCTGTCGCGACGGCCCCAGGCGGAGGCGCCAAACATGGCGCTAGAGAAGACACGCACAACGCGCAACACTTGTGCACACTTAACCAATTCTATGACCCATCTACACCTACAATGTTATCGTTAAATAATAACTTAACATCGATCATAATCATATATATTTTATACAACTTAGTTATTTTTTTTTTGTCACCTGCTTACATTAGCAATCCATTTTGAGCTTATTTTCATTCCGGTGAGATCAGCACCTTTACACAATAAGTCTAAATATATATTTATTTTTTCAAAATAATAGTTTCGATCGGGCCACAAAGATTAAGTACATAATGTGAAATCGCTTCATTTTCCAAGTACTAAGCTTACACTCGTATCTATAGTCGAGAGAAGTAATAACTTGACAATATGTTATAATTAGGGCAGATATTTATACCTAATAAACATGAATTTGAATGAAGTAAATACTATTAATAGCTAAAATACTATAATTATTAGCTATTAACAGTTCTCACTTCATTAAAATTTCTCTCTATCAGTTATAAATATTTGCTTAAGATATGACATTTTCTCAAATCATTACTTCCCTCGATTACGCCCGCTGTCTCAGATGTATAAGTTATATGTACAAGTATTTGTTTGTTTGTTTTATGTTATAAACAATTATCAGCATGCAGGGCTCTCTTGTAGGTAAGTGATGGGCAACGCGTGTGTAATGTAGACTTGCAACGAATATTCGGTAATTGATAAAATAAAAGAAATTATTGATTTACAATAATATTATTTTCATCCCGTGACCGTTGTGAAAGTTACTTAACACAACGATCGTGGGCCGCGGCGCTTATCCTCCACGCCACCACCGAGCTACTACGAATCGATTGTGATAAAAAAAATATTATATCGAGCTACTCAAGGCACGTTTAGCCGTTGGTCCCGGTTGCATTTGCAGTCGTTAATACCCTCCAATCCGCATTGGGCCAGCGTGGAGGGTCATGGCCCATCCTCCTTCACCATCCACAAGGAAGGCCTGAGCCCCTGTAATGGGGACGTAAAAGAGCTGATGATGATGACGTATCATGAAAGTCATTAGAACAGACAGCACACAATCATCTTTTATATTATCTACAAAATTTGTAGTTTTTTTTTTATAGTATTTATAGTTTTGAAGCGGAAGGAAGGTGCTGCAGAAAGATTATTTTTTCTGCATTTTTAGTAAGTAGTTTACTTCTTTTTGTTCACTACTTCCTGGCGGCGATTAATATTTCGATCGGCTGCTTTGCTTCTTCTTTATGCAGCGGATTTGTGAAAACATTCATTTTAAAGCGTGGATCTAAAAAGGTAGCCGCCATATAATTTTTATTTGTTGTGATGTCTTCAAATTGTTCTTGAAAAACCCGACTTGTAATGCCCGGAAAACGGTTCAGATTTAAATTTAATTTTATTGTAATATCGCATTTAAGTATCAATATACAGAATAATTTTAAAAATGCAAGCGTATCGGGACCAAGGTCCTTGGTCATTTTTGTTCCTCAAATGGTTGCAATAATTTTAAAAGATGCTCCAAAAGCTCCATCGTGCATGTAATTCGTTTTTGTTGCATTAGCATTTCGAGCATATAGTATGTGGAGTCCACCGCGTACTGACATTTTGGACCAATTGATGCTGAGGGAGAACTCTTTGTGGATAGAATATATTTTTCCCTGTGCGGTACCAAAATTATTAAAATGAACGAAACAATCACGTCGATACAAGTTTGGGCGCCATCTACCGGCCGAATACTTATTCCCAATATTCGGTTTATAGGCAAGCTCGCCGAATATTGCCGAATATGTTGTTCGTTGCAAGTGTACTTAGTGTATTTCTCTAGCGTATATAGCTTTATATGTCATGTAACATTCTACTCACTGTTGAAGAACTAAAAACAAAAAAACATACTTCAATGTTATTGGAAATTTGTGATATTTAAGTGCC